TGCTTTGTTTACAGCAATACAGAAATATATTGTGGCTGAACATATTTCTTGTCTGTTAAGGAAGTTCTTGTCCTTTGTTGTTTTTTATCATGAGCCAAAGTGTTTTGCTGTTGCTTTGAAGTAAGACAAATTGTGATTAAGGGTTCAGTTCTGTATCTGCTTATAATGGGATAAGCCCCACTGAATTCAGTAAACTTGCTTCCAACTGTATGATTGTATTTTTAAGTCTTAATGTTTAATCTGTACAGTGTACTAATTTGCATAAAGCAGAATATGCATGTTCCTGGAAGTATTCTATCTGCATAGGATGCCAGTAGAATTGTTTTACCAGAAAATATAGAGTATTGACGTACTGAAATTGATAAATAGCTTTTTGAGTGAATGTGTTTTAAAATCATAAATTGGAAGTTAAACTAATTTAACCCCAAAGGATGAACTATGTTGTTCCCTTTATCTCTAGATAGGAGATGTGTATTTCTATTAATGTACAGCAAATTGTAAAAGCATTTGACTAAAAGTGCCCGATTCTGTATTATGGCGGTCAGATAATACACATAGGAAGTAAAAATTATACTGGATCTAGAAATTTACCCAGTAGACTTTCATTGGCATTAGAAGAAGGAATAAGGTGATTCCTCTTTGATTTCCCCTGCAGCCCTGAATTGCTGTTGTCCTTCTAATCAACCTGTGGTGTAATACTTGGGCTGCAGATGACCCACACTTGAGTGGGAAGCTCTATTGGATCCAAACTTCTTCTCTGAAGATTCTTTGTATTTATTGTATAACTGGAGCAAGTCTGGATTAATTAACATTGTCATAGTGTATTTCAATCTGTAATTCAGTAATAAATAACATTCTGTGTATGAGTATGCTTAAATTGCCAGTATTTCGAGACAGGTGTCTTGTTTTTCTTATTCTCATACTGTAATACAATTCCTATGATAACTCAGTATGCATCTGACATCATTAATAGTAAAATTGTAGTCTTTCATACAATTATAATCAGACATATAATTTAGAACTTGGCTTACAAGTTTGCTTGAAGATCCTCACTGATTTGATTTTCCCCCCCTCTTCCCTCTTTGTGCTGTGTCCTGCTTGGCAAGATGATGCAGTGTCATGTCAGTGCTTGTGATGACATAGAAACACCAGAAATGGTAGGTACATTCTTTCTCTCTTTTAGAGTCATGTGATTTGTTGCAGATTTGAAAAGAAAAAATTGCTTTTTAAACATACTCTTGATACAAGGGCAAATTAATCAAGAGCTAATTTTACTAATAGCTTGCCCATAGGCAAAAGCTGCTACATTTTATTAAATTTGATTGAGGTAAAATCCTAAATCTTCCCTGAAAATAATTACCATTGAATTTGATGGGATATATTTCTAAATAGGCAAATACATGCTTTATCTTTGATAATTGTTTGCAACATTTTTCCCTGCATTTTCAGTTTGAAATTGTATCTGATATGAAGTCTAAATACTTGTTAATGCAAGAGGAAATTGTGGGTTATCAGATGCCTGCTTGGGTCTAAAGATACATGAGACATGAAATAAGAATTTTCTAACAATCGTAATTTTTATTTTGTGGAATACTTTGATAACATTCAGTTATATAGTTTAAAATTGCTTATGTGGAAATTTAGACTTTGTTTTTATTCTCCCTTTTTTTGGTTAGTTCGAGGGTGGATCAGGATATGGTAAGCTTTCACGCATATGTATTGAACACAATTTACAGTTTAATAATTTAAAGAGCAAGATGCGTATGTTTTAAATTAGACTATTCTTATGCAGGGGGTCGTGGTTCTTACGGAGATCTTGGTGGACCCATCATTACAACACAAGTAACAATACCCAAAGATGTAAGTATATCTATTTACTTTTGACTTTTCTTAATGAAAAGCAATTTTCTAGGACAATTTGTTATATTTGCCCAAGTTCCAGTACCAAATTTGCACTCAGTTGAGACTATGAAGAGAGTCTGTGAAAATATTTCTTATGTTCACACATACCAGTCATTATTTATCCATTTGTCATGCTAATTATGGGTTAGAATGTACTAGTTCAGTAAAATATTCTGTACTAATTAACTTTATGTTTTCAGCTGGCTGGTTCTATTATTGGAAAAGGCGGTCAGAGGATTAAACAGATACGCCATGAGTCAGGAGCTTCAATCAAAATCGATGAACCCTTAGAGGGCTCAGAAGACCGAATAATAACTATTACAGGAACACAGGACCAGATTCAAAATGCACAGTATTTACTGCAAAACAGGCAAGTTGCTCTTAAGCTGTATTTCTTAACTTCATGTAGATGTATTTTGCTTGTGTGTTGTTTTTTAAGGAGAGCATTTAGAGAAAAACAATTCAGTCGTACTTTATACTAACTTCTCAATTTAGTAGTTTGCCTTTCTCTTCTGTTTTCCATTCTTACTCAGTGAAGAAGCACTCAGAACTAATCTTTCAGGAAGTGTCCTTAACCAAAGCAGCTCTCATTTCTCTGGTGAAAACTGCTGCAAAAAAACCACTTTAATCTTATTATATAGAGCCTGTAGAAAATATAGAAGATTTCAGTTGGATGTTGGTCTAGTTCTGTGTGGAAGACTAGTGATTTTGTTGTTTTTAGATTACTAAAGTGACAACAAATCGCAGTCTACCATATGGCACAGTCCATGCCTCTACAGGACAAGTTGAAAGCTATTGTTGCTGTTAATGCAGCATTTCACACCGCTTCCTTTTCTGCCATGTATAACAGCTTTAGATTTTACATGCTTTATTTCCTTTAACACCAACTATTTAGTGAGCATCTTGTAATGTATAACTTTAATTTTGCCTGTAGATTAGCTACTAATTATAAGTTGACAAGTGTTATTATGTATTATCTAATTTTATTACATTTGTAAATGTATTTATAAATATTGATTCAAGTTGTTTGTTCAACCATTCTAATACATGCCTTTTTTTTCTTTTTCCTTATAGTGTGAAGCAGTATGCAGATGTTGAAGGATTCTAATGCAAGATATTTTTTCTTTTTTATAGTGTGAAGCAGTATTCTGGAAAGTTTTTCTAAGACTAGTGAAGAACTGAAGGAGTCCTGCATCTTTTTTTTTTTCATAAATCTGCTTCTGTTTAAAAAGCCAACATTCCTCTGCTTCATAGGTGTTCTGCATTTGAGGTGTAGTGAAATTTTTGCTGTCACCAGATGTAATGTTTTAGTTCTTTACATATAGGTGGGTGGGACTGGGATGGCTTGCAAAACTAACATTGGTATTTTGAAACAGCAGCAGAGAAGGTAGATTTTATTTTTATTTTTTTTTTCTATGTTGGTTGTAAACTGTAATGTTTTCTGTCACTTGTGAACCCATCTGCTTTATACCCCCCCTTTTTTTTTTGAAGTGGGGTAGGAATACTGATAGTCCACTTAACCCCAACATCCATTCAATGCAGTGTGCAAAATGTAAGCACTCTTTTGTAAAATGTTCTATGATTTTAAAAATAAATTTAGTGAAACAATTCTTGCAGTCCTTTCTTTATGAGTATTTCAGTAGCTAAAATACACACTCTACAGTCTACATTTATTGAGCTTGGCTTTTTTTCTTCTCTACACCAGAGGAGCAGAATACCAATTCAGATATTTTGGTAAATTGGAAGTATTGATTGCACTGATTCTAACTTTGGTATGTGTAAAGAAATTAACATACATTAAATGGTTTTCTTTCTGTTGCTCAAGTTGTATTTCCCTAATTATTGTATTGCATTATGTTGGTTTGAATAAAATTTTACAAAACTTGTTTTGTCAATTAATAGCAAGCAATTACAGAAAATACTGAAAGCTTGATAATAGCCTTGGCAGTTTTGCCCATTTCCAACTGTAACTTGTTTAATATGTTTCCATTGTACAAAGATTTGAATGAAACAATTGTATCTCTTTCATATTGACTGGCATAGGAAATGCGTGCTAAATCAATCTGGATGTTTTCATGTAAAATCCTAGCCATTTGTACGGATAGTTTCCAAGGTTATTTCTTTTATTGAATAAAATAAAAATTGTAATAACATTGAGTTGGATGTGGATGTGACAGATCCTGTTTTTAATAGGGGTTTGTTTTTTTGGTTACATTTAATTGCAAGCTAAATAGAAAACAACCGCTCCTTTCCTGTTTGCAATTATGGAATATTTTAAAAGCAAGACCATGCAAAAAACACTTTCAACGTTGTATAAGCAAAACAGTCCGGTTTTACGTTATCTGGCCAAATAAGCCTTGAATTCAGTGGGACTTTCTAGAATGGATGATAGATATTCACTAGTGAGGTTTTTAGTTTTTGAAAGAGGTGTTTCTGAGTGTTTACCTGTACAGGGAAGAAGCCCAGATATCAAAGGCAGGTCCCTGGGTTTCACGTTTGAGTGGCCTTTTAAAAATGTAAAAAAAACCAGTGAGGCCTACGTGTTGGTATAGAAAGGATTGCAGCAGTTTGCTGAAGAGTGAAGATTTTGAAGGGTTTCCTATTTCAAAACTGCATGGACTTTGCCATGGAGTCTCTAGGAGCCAAGGTGGTCTCAAAAGGCACCCCCCCCACATCAATTTTTAAGCCGGTTTGATTCAATGGTTAAGGAACTAGAGTAGAAGCAGAGAGGCTCGAGTTCTGGCCCTGTCTTAGGGACAACGAGGATGACTGGGCCAGTCACCACCTTTACACTCCGTGAAGGTCACTTTTGGAAAACGCCTAAAAATATGTGTGGACTTGTGTAGCTGCCAGGAGTCAACACCGATTCTTAAGGCGCAAAAAAGAAAAACCCCACCAAGGATTTACCGTTCCGCAAACTAGAGGAAAACACGGACATTGCTGATAGTTATTAAATATAATTCTACGTGTATTCTACGGAAATAAAACAGCACGTTACGGCTGACGCCGATATCAGCTTACCGTACCTTGTTTGAGTTCTCCACTAATTTATGCAAATATAGTCCATTCTGATTGGAGAGTGAAGCAAGGACGATTGGAGAAAGGTTGAAAGGAAGCAACTCCGTTTTTTATCGACGGAGGTCGGTGTAAGAACACTCGTGCGTTACTGAGAAAGTGTATGACAATCGTGTGTTTGCAGAGGTAAGATGGATTTGGCCTCTTGGCGAGACGTCGTGACATTTTGCTAGCAATCTGCATACTTCCGGGTATTTTCCGTAGGCCTGAGATCCGTAGGCAGGCCTTGTTTGGCCATGTGAATTGAGAACGAGGAAAAGAAATACGTTTTTGTTCTGTTCCTGCCTCTCGTGAAAATCGTAGAAACAGCCAAGAGTCAAATATCAATCTGAATGCGACTTGGCGCCTGCGGGTGTGGGAATGCTCCAGGGGAATCGGATAGGATTTGCAGACAGAAGCCCCTGCTGCTGGTATTCCGCTTCTGGCCGCGCCGCTCTGTGTGTTAGATGACTGCTACTAGATCAACATTTCAAAATTCTTATCTGGAGAAAAAGTGGCCTCGCTGTTACTTAGCAGCAAGATTTCTTAAAGCGGTCCGTGAAAGTGCGAATCGTTGCGAGGGGGGTGTATGGGGGCGGAACTTTTTTCACGTCTATTGTTCGAGTAAGCCCTTGCTAGATTCACTGAGAATAGGAGCACCTTCTATCGCTGATCACTTCATCTCAGCCATTCGTGCATTCACTAAAACGTAAATCTCCCTCTGATAAAAAGACATTGGTTTGGCCATTTTATTAGGCAATATTGGCTTTCAACGGAGGCGGGTCGGGGAAATAGTTTGCAATCAGTGCAATAGATTGCAATCAGTGGGAGGAGCTAAAACATCCAGGATAAACACAACTAGTTTTATTTCTATAGGAAATCATGGATTTTGGTTGATTATTAATGCTTGGGTTTATTCTGGCTGTTTAAAATAGGACTACCCTATCCAGTTAGATGGCTGGAGAGCGATATGAACTCTTAACTCTTTGCTACCATCTCGGGTCCTCCAATTTTTTGCAGCCCAAATCTGGTAGCCCTTCTTAAAAGACATGGGGCGGGGTGAGACTGAGAAGTTAAACAAAACAAAATGTGAAAGAAGATAATAGCATAGACCTTGTCTGTGAAGCCTCCAGGAGTCAGGTTCAACTTGGAGAAGATTTTACATTTTATTCTCCTTTTGCAATTTTGCCCTCTAAGACAGAAATCAGATAATATTTCATGTTCAATCTACTATCTCTTGTACCTTTAGAGAAAACTTAAATAATGTTGTGGCTGACTTGGGGAAAGGGGCTCTGAAAGAAAATTGTCAGAAATATCATTGGAAGCACAAACTTCACTTCTTACCCATTTCTTGGATATATAAATGCTAATTATCACACATTTCCTTCTGTTTATCACTTGAAATCTCAACATACAGTTTGACTCCTTTGGAAAGTGCTGTGTTTATAATGCTACAAAAGTGCTATTTTCAATGTGTGGTCTGCGAGGATGGTATATCATTAAAAGAAAAAATTGTGAAGTGCTACAGTCAAAGAATGAGTGTGAATCCATCTGTATGGCTTTTGTGTTATCCTCCCATCCTCTTCAATTTGGGCTAGGCTCAATAAGATTTTTTTATATTTTAATATATGATACAATTATCCAGGTAGAGGTTTTGCATCCGCAATGGCCTAAAGAATGACACACATAGTTGCCAAGATTGAGTAAAATGCTGCTGCTTTTAGAACGGAAAATTTTTATATTTTTGAATTGTCAAGGATACAGTTGTATGCAAACTTGAGAGTAAGCATTGTTAAACTGATAGAATTTACTGCTGCATCAACATGTACAGGATTGCTTAAAATATGGAAAGACCTGGGCAGATAGCCTGATTGTCAACAGAATGAATATTATATATCTTTCTTGTATTCTGTCAACTGTACTTACAGGTCAAAGACTAAGAGCCAATTTATCACATTTACTCAGAAACAAGGAAAAATATGGAAGCAATTTTAAATCCTAAAGAATCTGCCAAGATTATAGCAGAAAACAGCAAAGATGTGTACATTGAAGATAATGGTGTTCAAAAGGTTGCAGAGATGTTGTTTGACAAAGTTACAGAGAAAGAATTCAGTGTGGCTGGCTGGAAGTCTTCCCATGAGTTAAACCCTCAAGCAGCAAGTGAAGATGCAGTGAACTGGGTGTTCGTTACTGATGCGCTCAATTTTTCCTTTTGGTCTGAACACGAAGACCATAAATGTTTGGTGAAATACAAAGGCAAGAGTTATAGTGGCTATTGGTCTCTTTGTGCTGCCATCAACAGAGCATGTGATGAAGGTTAGTTTTCTGAATTAAATTGATTTAGATGTTCACTCAAAGGTCTGTTCCAGGACCTCTTTGCAAAATTATACTGCTCACCTTTGGATTTATGTTTGGACTTCATACTACAGATATACAAATAGCAATAGAATAAACATGGCTCTTTCATGGAGTAGAATGTAGTCTATAAGAACCTGTGTGATTATGAATTTGTTATTCTTTATGGTTCCATCAAACTCTCTTGTAACATAGCAATGAATCATTTCAGTGGCTAAGCAACCTATTACATTTAATAAGTAGCATAAAAAATGTTTTCTCATGTTCAAAGTATCAAGACTCAAATTAGGCTTACTTTTTTTTCTCCCCAGAATCTGTTCATCAGACCAGCAATTAGACAAAATAAAAATAAAGACCTTCCCATTAGAGGGATTTCCCCCTTTTAATTTTCTCTACCAGAATGAGGAATATGGAGAAAGTTGGCTGCAATAGCAGAGGATTAACTCTCAGGTGGCTTCTCACTACAAATCTGACAGGGTCTAATCTGGATTGGGATCTGGAACTTGCTTTCAATAATAATAAAAAAAATGAGGAAACTTCACATGACATACCCTATCATAAAGTGTTAGTTGAAAAAGGATCAGAAAATGACTGTAAGGAGTATTTAGATGCTCCTTGCCTTGCCTCTGTTATGGATACTTGGCCACTAAACTGATGCCTTCATGGTATTAGGTAGAGAAGCCTTGAGAGCAGTGTAGTAGAAGGAGGCTGGCCCTGACTGGACAGCTGTCTCAAATTTCATTTTAATTTCTCTTTTAGTCTTCTCCCTTTAATAGAGAAGTATCAACAGAATTGGGCTGCACTGAATAAGATGCATGCCTCTGTGAAATTTACAAGTAGAGCATTAGCAGGAAAAGGTAACATTTTCCTCTTTTTAGCCTAAACATCAGGTATTCAGATGTATTACTTAACTTTCACAACTGATAGTTTTTCATGGAAAACATAGGTTGACATTTTATATCTGTCAACATATATGTCAGCTAGAAGAAGCATTAGAATCTAAAGTTTGGAAGAGGACCCTAAGAATTTAAAATAGCTTAATAAGACTGGAGAGATACAGCCACCGTCTTTTTGGAGACATCAGTTATTTCTGTAAACGACTCTAAATAAAATATGAATAATCTCTCATTTGGCAGTTATGGAATGCTCACAAGGACTTACTATGAACTGACATTTAGTTCACTGCTTTCTGCTTATTGGTAAATATTTACCATTTTTTTAATAATCTGAACACAAAAGTATATTAAATCATGATTCAGATAGTATTTTAACATTCAGAGGTAAATTAACTGAGAAATAAATTGTTTAGTTGTTTCAATAATCAGTGCAAATAAACTCTGTTTAGTTGTTTCCTAATTAGAACATTTTCTAATTCCTTTGTGTTATATTTTACTAATTATTTCAAATGTAATTAATAATTTTTGTTGTTGTTGTCCTTTCTGAAGGAATACCCATTACTAGTGCTTCTTATTATGCCACTATGACCCTGGATCAGGTGAAGCATGCATTTCGCTCTGACACAGAGGCGCCCATGCCTTTAATCGAGGAGAGACATCATGTGCTAAATGAAGCTGGAACTATTCTCCTGGAGAAATTTGGGGGCTCCTTCCTCACATGTGTTAAGAAAAGTGGAAAAAGTGCCCAGAAATTATTACAGATAATAGTGGAAAATTTCCCATCTTTTAGAGATGAGGCTACATTTCAGGTAAATCTTATAGTTTGTAATAATCTGTGTTTTCAGCTAACAACTCTGTTACATATTTTTAGGGCAAGAAAGATGGACAAGGAGCTGCTGCAAACATCAGTGCCTCATTTGGTGCTGTGGAAGAGTGGAAAATACCACAGCACACATCACCTATGATCTTATCATTTATCATAGATAGGCCATTGATGGTGTGACCAGTATCCCCAAACTGCTATGGATACTGTAATCCATCATTAAGTGTTATGAGAATTATGTTCGATGAATTCATGTCATGGTGACAATGATCATTCATTACAGTGGATATATTCTTTATCCCTCTTGATTTTCAGTGTAATTTTTTTTTTCATTTTCAAACATTTATTATTATTTTTTAACTGAATCATTCCTCCACCCATTAATTTGTGGGGAAAATACAATTAAGACAGTACAAGCATAGAATCATCTTTTACTGATTAAATAAAACAATTGTTCAGTTTTGGCCTCATAACAAACCACAATATATTTTTAGTATGGAGCTAAAACTATGATTTGAGAAGCCAAACCAAAAGTGAAATAATGATTTAAAGCTTCTTATCTATCTTTAATTCTATTGCTCAATAGTCTCTTAGCAGCAGCAGCCACAGAACCATGACTATGGTTTGTAATTGTAGGCATTATGTCAGAAATATAGTTAGTATATGCTATTTTTTCCAAACCCCCTTCAAATCAGGAAAAACAAAAGTGAGTTGGCCATAGGGAAGGCAAATCCATATAAGAGCATACCTTGTCTAGCTACACTCAGTCACAAAATTAATACTTTGAATTTTGTAGGACTCTTCATCAGGAAAGGTGGTAAGAAAAATAAAAAGGGACAGGGGGCAGTTGCTGACATTCAAGCCACGGGATCATCAGACTGAAAGCAGAATGTGGGAATGGGGAACAGTTATTTTAATTGGACTTTGTCTGGTGCTGAGTGGTTTTCCAGGGACATATTCTCAAAAACTGCTCAAAAGAGTCAAACATTGATATCTTATAGAGTCCTTGAGGTTTTCTGAGCTTGGTTGTTTTCTTGCAGACATTTCATTACCCGGCTAGGTAACATCATCAGTGTTAGAAGGATTTGCTCTCTGTTTATATACAGTAGCTTGCCCTGTCAGTGTTGGTGGGGGTATGGTTTTCTCCTTGGTAATTCCTTGATTAGGCCGCTGTTTACTGCTTGATTGTTTGTCTGAGTTGGTCATTCCTTGATTGCTTGTCTGAGTTGGTAGTTCAATACAAAATAAAATCAAAATAGAGCAATAGAAAATCTTGGTAACTTCAGTCTTCTTAAGGCAGTGTTCTGTCAATGAAGCTCTTTCCGTCAGTACTTACTTTAGTACAGATCTTCTGTAGGCAAGAATCTTCTGTGGGGGGGGAGGGGTTGTCAAAAAAAAAAAAGTCAAGGGGGTGACCATGACTGCAATCGGGATGGTACAGGCCACCATCTTGCCTTTTTTTTACCATACCCCTAATGGGTAGCACTTGTAGGCAGAATGAGAGAGGAGGTGAACTTGTAGTGTCTTCCACATAAAGTTTTCCATGTCTACCCATCATCTACTCCAAAGGGTTTCAAGGATTCTCGGGAAAAAAATGGAAAATAACGCTGAGTGTAATGATACTTCCTTTCTGCTGGTTGCAATGTCTCATCCCAAAAGCATTTTCCTTTCATTATATTAGTAAATAAAAATAAGCTTTTTATGTTTAGAATTAGCAGTATAGGAACCACATTTATCCACCGTGTCTTCCTAAATAGTGTCCATTATATAATTGACAAAGATAAGTTGGTTGTAGCATTTTTCATGCCATTGAAGAGAAGGTAATTCAGTGCCAGTCAAGCTTCCTTGTTTGGAGTTGAACAAAGCAAAAATATGTTGGAATTCCTTCCTGTTACAATACTAATGGACATTTTATTTTAAATTCCAAAAGAAAGAAAAATGCATATAATTGTAAAGGCAAAAACTAAGCAAGTCTAAGAATAATTTATTCATCATGATGCTTGAATATAAGCAAGAAATACTACAGTTTTGAGAGCTATAAAAGAACTAGAACATAGTGTCTGTGCAGTTTATAATTGTCACCTTGAACTTTCACATTAATTTTCCAGAAACTCTTTAAAGGAATATAGTGAGATATCAATTGATGCTTACACAGGTAAACAATTCATTCTGACTTTCATTGTATATCACAGAAATGCAAAAATTACAGGTAGTCCTCAACTTACAACCATTCGTTTAACGACCGTCCAAAGTTACGATGGCGCTGAAAAAAGTGACTTACAACCAGTCCTTGCATTTAAGACCTTTGCAGTGTCCCCACAGTCACGTGATCAAAATTTGGGTGCTTGGCAACTGGCATGTATTTATGACAGTTGCAGGTTCCCGGGGTCACGGGATCACCATTTGCAACCTTCCCAGGGGACTTCTGACAAGCAAAGTCATTGGAGGAAACCAGATTCGCTTAACGACCATGGCAAAAAAGGTCATAAAATCGGGCACAACTTACTTAATGACCGCATTGCTTAGCGATAGAAAATCCAGTCCTGCATGTGGTCGTAAGTTGAGGACTATCTGTACTGTAAAGTTAAGTATATTTATACTCTGCTGCAGAAATCCAGATGTTGAGAGATGGTAACAAAATCATAATAGCAAACCTTCATACTAAAAGTTGTTGAATTAAGGGGTTCTTGGTGCTCTCTGAGTTTGGTGGTTTGTTTGCAGACGTTTCATTATTCAACTAGGTAACATCAGTGCGTGTTGATAATGTTACCTAGTTGGGTAATGAAATGTCTGTAAGCAAACAAACAAGCTCAGAGAGCACCAAGAACCCCACAGTTCAACCCTGAGCTACATATATTCTCTTCAATTGTTGAAATAATTTTTCAATCATTCTAATTATTTTGTCCCCCCCCCCCACTGCTTTTCCTCCCAGGGTAGAAAGGTGGCTTTTTACAAACGGGCACAGATCCTTGTGGCTGACACCTGGAGTGTGCTGGAAGGGAAAGGAGATGGCTGCTTCAGTGATATTTCCACAATGACTATATTTGCCGATTATAGGATACCACAAGTTCTTGTTCATTTAGGAGCAATGAGATATTCAGAAGAACTAATGAACAAACTTAAGAAAGGTATTAACTATTCATGATCATGAAGAATTTCTATTTCACATGCCACTTTATACCAGTAGTCCTTTGATGTATATTTTTTTAAAAAGCTGAAATAAACATATTAGAGGTTAAGTTCTATTACAAGAGTTTTCCATTCCATGAAAGTACAGTCTACAATCCTCACAGTATAAATGCAAAGGACCGTGCTAATTTAATAACTTACTTTTTTCACTTTTATTTTGTAGAAGAAAAAAATAAAAGGGAAAAGGAGGATTTTAATGATCACTCTGTGCCAAATATTCTATTCTGGTATTTCATTTATAGAGTGTCATTTTTTGTCTAGGAAACGAGAGCTTTCATTTTAAATTATTTCTAACAGTGATGAACATGAAGAATTTGATAAAGACATGTATACCTGCCTTTATTTTTTTTTTTCTGATACCTCAATCCATGTGCACTTGTGGTTTGCCCAATCTCAGCTTCCTTCCATCCATCCATGTACCTTTCTAACAGCAGTGTTCACAGGAGTCGAAAGTCAAGATGGCAATTGTGACCACGAGTTAAACCCCTTGTATGAGTGTCAGTGTTGCTTGCGTGTACAAAGAGGCAGGGATTCATTCATGAGGTTGCAACTGCCATCTTAACCAACTGAGCAAGTCTAATATCTAGATTGCAACCCATTTTTACTGTACCTTGTGGTCTGTTGACATTGTGAGCCACCCAGAATAGTTTTGGAGTCAGATTGTGTTTAATTCTAATTAAATATTTTTTTAAAAAAAATCTAGTGGGGATATTTCATAATGCCAGAGCCATAACAGAAAGCAGTTATGGCCTTGGCTCTCCTCATGTCACATAAGCAGGGAACAATTAACAACTTCTTCCAGAACTTGTGTATTAGATGGGAGGCCAATTTTATTTGGAGGTGGTGGTTCTGAAGACACCTAGCTGGCAAGCCATGTAGTTTTTAAAGTTAAAATCAGATTTTGAACTTCACGCAGAAGCTTATTGGCAACCCATACAGGTTCCATAGCATGTGTATAAGGTACTCCTGGCAACCAACAGCTGCTACTATGCAGGCTACTATATTTTCTACCAGTTGCAGTTGATGAGTGATCCTCAAAGGCAGCCTCATGTAGAGTATTGATAAGGGCATGAGTTACCATTGCAATTGTACTCCAGGTAGGGCTGCATTTAGCACACTAGCCAAAGGTGAGCAATGGCATTCTAGCTGTGGCCTTCATCTGCTCATCAAGCAGAGCTGTGAATCCAGGAGGATCCTAACTTGCAGACTTGCTTCTTCAAGAATAGTGTCTTCCCCTTGAGAGTTAACACCAGAGCTTACTGAGAACTTTAATAAGCAAACAGAAATTCTACCTTCTTAGGATTTAGCTTTATTTAATTATGTATTTATGTACGTATTTATTTATTATTAAATTTGTATGCCGCCCATCTCCCCCAATGGGTGACTCTGGGCGGCTCACAATTAAAAATCAAAAGCCTATAAACAATTAAAATACCCCATAAATAAATATTCAATCCATTAAAATCCACTATAAAACAAACACTATACATAAATACTAAAGACATTCAAGATGATGGGGGGGGGGAAAAAAAAAACCCCCACCAAAAAAGCCACTTCCACTGATGCGAGCCCCCATCCAGCCCCCAGGCCTTCTGGCATAGCCAGGATTTATCCTGTTTTGTCTTTTCCAGACACTCGGATAAGACTTTTCATCTTCTTTCAACAATACAATTGCTGACATTTTATCAATCTATTTGAAAAAAATTAACTTTTATCAGGGTTGAAAAATTGTCTTCCAAGAGTTTATTAAATACTTGATTGCACATGCTGCAATTCCATGACTGGGATTTTTTTCAAGAAGTTCAATAGCTGCAGGTAGTTGAACATTTAGCTTTATTAGGGAGGTATACTGTATTGGCTTGCTTACAAATTCTCTGTTTAAATATACCACTGATAGTATTGTACTTACTTGTCTACTCCAAAATAAGCTCTAATTAAGCTAGTTCAATGACCTTCACTCCCTACTAATATATATCAGAAGCACTAGGAATCTCTTATTTAATCCAACCTGTGGAAATTCACTATTCAGCCTGTTAGACCATTTTTCTTGGCTCTGCCACCTTTCTTAATCCTCTTCCATCTTCGTTCCTCCTGTCATTCTGAAATCTATGGCTCTTATCTGATCAGCATGCTGAGTTGAGCTTTTTTCTTTCTGAGATTGCAGTAGTTTGCTTTCATGCATTCTTCTGCAAGATGACCTTTTTCTGTGCAGTACAATGCAGGAAGCAATAATTCCTAATCTATCTCCATGTGAAGCCCCTCCCCTGATATGATGTAAGCAGCCTCTTGGGTAGCAGCCTACCCAGGAAGAGCTATCAAAGATCCTCTTTGGTCAGCACTGTTGGCCACTAATTAGGAAAAGAGTTAGGAATGTTATGAAAGACAAAGAAAGTGTGCGGAATAAGACAGAAATAAATGAGTCAAACTACTGCAACCCCTATCAATTTAGCAGTGTGGTAATTGCTTTGACAGATTAACATACTGAAAATATGTAACTTGAATTACCCTGATTAAAGTAAAAAATGTTAGGTGTACATTGATTAAAATAGCTATTGGGTACACACGGTATTTCCTCTTATATCCCATTTTCTTTATTCATGTTTGTTTTTTTTAATCCTTCCATATCTTGCAGGGCATATGTTCCAGTTTGGAGAAAATCATGAAGTGGAGATTCGAGGTTGTACTATTTGGTGTTGTGAGCTTATTTGCAGAGGTTTGCTTGACCTTTATAAAAAGAAAGGTGAGAACATGAGTGAAAAGATCAATGCAGTTCTCATTGATTATTATCTATGGGACTATGCTCGGAATCATCGAGAAGATATGAAAGGAGTACCTTTTCACCGTGTACGTTCCATATACTATTAATACCATTTACAAATTATAGTGATATAAAGCATCAAATTCTAAATTTTTTATATATACTTTTGAAATTTTACAAAAATTTTGGCACGGCTGCCCATGTATTCACTTGCCACCTAAGATTCTGATCTTTAATGTCCACTTTACCAGAAGAAAGGCATTTTCCTGCATATGCATAGATTCACATTCTGATTCTGTAAGTAATATATTCATTTAATATGTTTGATTAAAAAGGTGTGAAATAGTGTGTAAAGAATCTGGATTATATATAAAATCAAAAGATACTTCACAAATTAGTATTGTAGTAGTCATATTGCCTACTTGTGTGTATGCATGTCTGATTATGCGTGTAAGTAGAAACCATTTCAGTTTACCATTTGATGTACCTTCTAAAGTTGTGTGCTGTTATTTTATTCAAAACATTGTGATGTCATTCAGCAACATTGATTCAAAGTTTGTACACAAGACTTTTTAAAAACAGTCTGAAATTACAAAAGAACAAGACCAGCACCAAAAAAGCAGTCAGCAATATTTAAAGGTATTTTAAAAGCTTGAGCTAACAAAAAGGTTATTGACTGACTCTTTAAAAACTGCTTGATCCTTGTGCATAGTTAAGTGGCAGCATCTAGTTGACTTTGATTCAGAAGATTAAGCAGTAATTGGATGAGAGACTACAGGAAATCTCAGGACTGTAAACTAAAATGGGATTTATTTTTTTTTTAAATCCTGGAAGAAGGCGGTGGCAAACCATCTCTGTATGATTGGCTAAAAGCTACATGACCTTGTGCAGAAAATCACCAGGAACTGAGCTCAACACAAAGAACACTTTTTTATCCATTGATTCTTCTGCATGCAGATATCAGACAATGAGGTGCACAGTTTCTGTAGTCAAATCATGGACTTTTCCTGCTTATCTGTGGTACTTTGCAGAAAAGATTCCAGTGTTCATGAGTCATGTAAGGAAGATAAACCACCCCTGAGCTTGACTTTAGGGGTGATCTGTCCAAATGGCTTTCAAGCAGGGAAGGGGGGTGCGGTTGCGTTTCTCAGTCATGTCTCTCCCCAGTGCAAGCAATGCCTGCACCCCCTACTAAAACATCCACAAGAACAGTTTGGAACTATAGTCTAACAGCCACGTTGCGGAATTAGACGTTTAATTACCGTCTCGGAAATAGCGCCTCTCGGCAGGGCGTCTCTTTTTCACACACATGCCGCTGCACTTTTAATCCAGTAGCACGAATCAGGTAAAGCACATGTCAGTGTAAATTAAGCTCTTAATCATCTGTCTTCGTGATCGTTTTGCTTAGATCAAAATGTGGCAGGCGTTCCTTTCTCGCTTTCAGTTTTTGGGAACGCCGCCAGGCAAGGCTGACGAAAACCGCGGCACCAGTGCGCCTGCGCTAACAGCGCGCTGGGCTCGGCGGCCCATCCGGCGGAGGCGAGGGCGGTGCTGCCGCAGCTCTCTGGAAAGGCGCTAGTTCTCTGTCAGCGGCGGGAGCGTTTCGTAGTTGCCTGGTGAACGAATGTAAACAAAAAGAGGAAGCGAGGGGGTCCGGATGGTGCTGACGCTGTTGTTTGGGGAGTATCTCCCTAGACCTTGGAGTGGGAGCTTGAAAGTCCGCAGCAAGCCCGGCAAGGAGGGTACTGCCTGACAAGCTGCTCCCGCCGCGAGCGAGTCCGTTTGGCCCTTAACCCGAAGGCTAACGTGAATAGCGCAAGCTACGTGGAAGCGCTCGGGAGTGAGTGTGCGTAGGGTGAGTGTGGGCGTGCGGGAGAGACTGGGAGGGGGAGGGTGTTGGTGGTGAGGGTGAGTAAAAACCGGTTAAAAAATCCTCTCAAGAAGTAGCCCCACATCTGTTATGACTTATGGTGCATGCTTGAATACAGTTTTTTTTATGGTACGTCTTTAAGGAAAAAGAAGAAAGACACGCGCACGCCCAGGAAAAAATACAGCACAAAGTGGATAAATAGGGTATTTACAAGCTTCATATACTGAAGCTTTATGGAGGCTAAAGTTTCCACTACTTAATTGACTCGTTTTAAGTAACTAAATGCACGACTTTAAAAACTACAAATCACGGTCAAATTCTGAATGATATGTGAAGCATCAACAGCAACTGACAGCAGCACAGTGTAAATCATAAAATGAGATTAAGAATTACAGCAGTGTATATCTGACCAAGTAAATATGTTAAGAGAAACCTACATTTCAGATGGGGCACAATCTCATGTATTGAGTTATAATCCAAAAATGGATTCCAAGTTCAGTGAATTCTGTGTCAGGTTTACTTTTGAAATGCGAAGCTATTTTGGACAGCAAGGGTACTCCTGCAGTTTAATTAGCCATTCTTTTTCAACAAGAGGCATACAAAGCTCGTTCAGTATACTTTGTGGGAATATAAGGTTTAGTAATATTTAATAAATAGTTTGGAAAGGAAATTTAGCTTTTAAAATCTTTCATTTTATTATAAATCATTTTCCAAAATTGTTGAGCCTTGCAACATTGCTACCAAATATGGAAAAATGATCCAATCTACCAAAATACATTATATTTCTAACATTTTTAGAGAATGAACTGCCCATTTTAGCAATCAATACTGGAGTAATACACCATCGTAAAGCATACAAGTTTTCTCTAATATTTGGTGTGAATTTAATGTTTTTCTTCCTTTGAAAATTACTATATCTAAATTTTGCATCCATTTAATCATACAATCTTTAACTTGTTTTGTTTCTGAGTCATATTTCATTAACATTTTATAAGTAAGGTCCAGAAAATATTCTAAATATAAGGTTTTCAAATTTAGTCAAGTCTTTAGGTGTTCTCCCTTGGTTTTGCTGTACTTTTAAAGCTGTACTACTTATTTTAAGGTATCAAAATGGGTCAGATGGTTCTGACCCTTCTGAAGATAAAGACTTTTAAAAAATCCTTTTGTCTTATTAATAATCAAATTTTGGGTCTATACATTTTATTGTCTTTCTTCTGAATTCATTTCTTTCTGCAAAAGAATATAAGGTTTCAATAATAAGTCAAGAGGTGATAAATCTGGACTGATTCTTTTTTTATATTTATCCCAAACTTTTAATATGCTGCTTATTATTGCATAAACACATATAAGCTGTTCATTTCAGTTTGTATGAATCCAAAGATATTTGTGCAGCCCATCTGGGAGTCTTATTCCCTCAGCGGAAGTGATCCAACCATAGGGATCCAATCTACAATCCAATGCGTAATCCAAGTTAAACAGCTAGCTTGATAATGAAGTTTGAAGTTCAGGGCTGCCAGAAGTCCTCATGCTATGGAATCCTGTATATCTTAAATTTAATTCTTGGCCTTTTATTAGATCATATAAAAGTCTTTTAATACCCTGTTTTCAAATTTTATTAGCACCATTTGGGACCGAAAATTAAGCCTTGGTCGAATGTTCTTTTTAACAGCTGCAATCTTCCTAACCAAGACAGTTTTAATTTTCCCCATCTTTATTATTTTTTATAATAAACAGGTCTTTATTGATTTTTGATAAATATATTCTCATGCATTTAATCTTTTTGATAATGATATTTAACCCTGTTATTTGGTACAAATATTGCTTTTTTTTCTCAGTTAAGTCCATGGCCACTAGGAACTTTATTGATCCGATATCATGACATTGAACCATGCTGCTGTATGTATGCCATTATCGATTCTAAAGAATCCTTTGGCTGAGTAACCGTAAGTACACATCATCAGTATGTAATTTTAGTTTATGTTGTTTAGTTGATAATGTAATTCCTGAAATGTTGATTTTTTTGCCAATGGCTCTAATGCCAATAAGAATATGAAAAGGGGACAGCCTTGTCTTTTCCTCTTCATTGTAGTACTTTTTGTGATTAAAAAAACCATTTAATTTTGTCTTCTTCCTCTATATAAAATACTCTGCATCTATTTAAAAAAATTAGAGCCACAGTTCATCTTTTTCAAAGTCGTAAGCATGAAAGACCATTCCAAATTATCAAAAGCTTTCTCTGCATCAGGAAAGATCATGGTTGCCTTCTTACTGTTCTGATTTTAAATAATACAGTTAAATGAAATTTGCTGGGTCAGTGTATTGTTATCTAGTGTATATGTGTACAAATGAAGGGATTTCACTGCACATCAGTAACTGTAAGCAGACAATCAAGTGTGTGTTATGGTCTTCTTAGTTATTAGCATCGTTCTGCCTAGAAGGGTTTTTTGGAGTGGGAATTTCTTCTGCATCAAGTTATCAAGTTTCTGGCTAATAAAATAAAGTGTGTACCCTGTATTATCTTCATGAGATTTCAGTTTTCCATGCTGCAGATCATTATCATTGTTTAATATATATCCCACTTTTTTGCTCAATGAACATGCTCCTCCCATTCCCTTTATCCATCAAGTAATCCTGTGAAGAGAGTCAATGTAGTGTAGTCGTTAAGGCACCAGGCTAGAAAACTGAAGACCATGAGTTCTAGTCCTACCTTAGGCACAAAGTCAACAGGGTGACTTTGGGCCATTCACTTACTCTCAACCATAGGAAGCAAGCAATGGCAAACCACTTTTGAAAATGTTACAAAGAAAACAGGGATTGACTCAAAGGCACCCCCCCACACAAAATAATCCTGTGAAACATATTACTGTATTTTTCCAACTATAAGACGATACTTTTTTCTCCAATCCTTACGCTAAAAATTGAAGGGCGTCTCATGCAAGGAAGTAAGCCAAGGAGAGAACCGTGCAGTTGCAAAACTGCCTATACTTTGTCTCTGCAAACAGGCTTCCTCCTATTGCTAGCCTCAAATCAGGAGTGAAATAGCTTGCCTCTGCAAATAGGCTTCCCCCAATCACGAGCCTCCAGTCATGAGTGAAACTGCCCATACTGTCTCTGCAAACAGGCTTCCTCCTATTGCTAGCCTCCAATCATGAGTGAAATAGCTTGACTCTGCAAATAGGCTTCCTCCAATCCCGAGCCTCCAGTCATGAGTGAAACTGCCCATACTGTCTCTGCAAACAGACTTCCTCCAATCACGAGCCTCCAGTCATGAGTGAAACTGCCCATACTGTCTCTTCCAACCGAAACTCCTCAA